ACCATGTAATTATATGTGTTACCACACCTTCCAGCCCTATAAAAGATAGGTATGAGAATGCCGACCAATAAGAGCGGTAGGTAGGTACCACGTGTGTCGCTGTTGTAGCCCCGGTGTTGGGCCCATGAGACCCTGGTAATGGCCCAATACCATTAAATACCAGAGATTTATACCCCACGTGGGAGCCACGTAATTATGATGGTCCATAATTTACAAAAATGATTTTATTAAGGCCTAAAGAGGTAGAAGGTTATTAAGGAGGTGTTTAGGACCATAGGTTAGGTCTCCAGACACCTCAAGTGTGGGTGTGTAACAGCGATATTTTTAAAGTAAGAATATATCATAGGTTTTTCTATGCATATATATTTTATATAAGTCTTCATTATATTTTTATAGTTCAAGAGAAATTTTTTATTATTTATCTACTTTTAAATAAATAATGCAATTCTCTTTGAAAACAACATTTTCGCTATTAATGATATTTACCGCAATCTTCTCTTCTCTGATGGCCTGTTGAATTCAGTTCCTTGATGGCAGCAGTTGTTCTAATCTTCACTTCTCTGATGGCCTTATGAATTCAGTTCCTTGATGGCAACAGTTGTTCTAATCTTCACTTCTCTGATGGCCTGTTGAATTCAGTTCCTTGATGGCAACAGTTGTTCTAATCTTCACTTTTCTGATGGTCTGATGAATTCAGATCCTCGGTGGCAACAGTTGTTCTAATATTCACTTCTCTGATGGCCTGTTGAATTCAGTTCCTTGATGGCAACAGTTGTTCTAATATTCACTTCTCTGATGGCCTGTTGAATTCAGTTCCTTGATGGCAACAGTTGTTCTAATCTTCACTTCTCTGATGGCCTGTTGAATTCAGTTCCTTGATGGCAACAGTTGCTCTAATCTTCACTTCTCAGATGGCCTGTTGAATTCAGTTCCTTGATGGCAATAGTTGTTCTAATCTTGACTTCTCTGATGGCCTGTTGAATTCAGTTCCTTGATGGCAACAGTTGTTCTAATCTTCACTTCTCTGATGGCCTGTTAAATTCAGTTCCTTGATGGCAACAGTTGTTCTAATCTCCACTTCTCTGATGGCCTGTTGAATTCAGATACCTAATGACAACAATTGCTCTAACCTTCTCTGATGGCCTGTTGAATTCAGTTTCTTGGTGACAACAGCTGCTCTAATCTTTCTTGAAGACCTTTTGAATTAAGATACCTGATGTGACAACAGATGTTCTGTTCTTCATTTCTCTGATGGCCCGTTGAATTCAAATCCTCAGTGACAACAGTTGCTCTAATCTTCACTTCTCTGATGGCCTGTTGAATTCAGATCCTCAGTGACAGCAGTTGCTCTAATCTTCACTTCTCTGATGGCCTGTTGAATTCAGATCCTCAGTGACAACAGTTGCTCTAAGCTTCACTTCTCTGATGGCCTGTTGAATTCAGTTTTTGATGACAACAGTTGCTCCAATCTTCACTTCTCTGATGGCCTGTTGAATTCAGTTTGCTTATAGAAGTAATTCTATTATATTATTAATTTCCTGTTAACAATAGGTCCACATAGAAAATATATATTTACAATTTTAGACCTTAAAGAAAGTTAACACTATTTTTGTTGGTTCATTTCCGATAGTGAAATGCTGTCTTTCTTTTTCCTATACAATGGTCTGAAAGTTTGGCGCCTTTGATGATAACAATTATATTATTTTTAACATGCGATGCTATTCTGAACGTAGATTATTGTTGTAATTTTTCAGTTTTTCTTTTTCTTTTTATGACGAACTTCTACCTTATGTTCATTGTTGATAGTAAATATTTTCTTATTTTCTACAATGGGATTCAAACTCCAGGTTTATTGTTGATAGTAAATCTATTTTTCTCTTATTTCTAAAATTGTCAGCTAACTGTAAGTCCATTATTGATACTGATTCTGTCTTTTATTTTCATCTCGAAGGACTTGAAACCGAAGATTCATTTTCGACAGTAATTTTATTCTTCTTTTTCATCAATAATGGGCTTCAATATTGTTGCACCAGGTTGCGGCTTGGCAGACTCTTCAGCCTGGATTCTCTCCTGTGCTGGGTCTTGCATCTTACCAGAGCGTGTTTCAACCATCCTGCAAATTTATAAAAGGGAATAACGAGATAAGTCTTCTTTAAGTAGCCACCAGAATCCTTTCTTTATTTTCTCACATCAAAGAGAGCAGTGAAGTCACACTTGTACCTAAATACAAATGATGACAATCTAAATAATCTGTGTTTTAAATAAATATCATAGAATATAAAAATAAATAAATATATAATTTAAATTTCAAATATATTAAAAATAATATAAGAAATACGCCATTAATCATGATGTAACACTTCCCCCTCTCCAGAGGTCGTCACGTCCTCGTGAGTTACCTCATCAATTCTCTCAAAATAGGGTTTGAGTCTTGAGACATGGACAATCAATGGGTCTTGGCCAGGATTATCTTTTGGCTCAATTAAGTAATTTACGTTAGACAGCTTCTTTAATATTCTATATGGGCCAAAATATTTTCTCAGTAGTTTCTCACACTTTCCTATTTTCCTAATTGGTGTCCAAACTGCTACTAATTCTCCTGGTTCGTAGCTTCTTTCCATGTGTTTCTTGTCATAGTTCTTTTTCATTCTTTCTTGAGTCTTTATTGTGTTGTTAATAACTAATTTTCTTGTTCTGTTTATTTTGTCTAAGTGATGTTTTATGTATTCATCATAATCATCTTTGTCAATGTCCACCGAGATATTCCTGTCGTCCAAAAGAGACGTGGGTTCTCTTCCAAACATCAGGAAAAAGGGAGAATATCCTGTGGTTTCCTGAATTGTAGTATTGTAAGCGTGAGTGATGAATGGGAGTATTTCGTCCCAATTTTTCTGATCAGTGTTCACATACATACTGAGCATATTGATCAATGTTCTATTTAACCGCTCTGTCAATCCATTAGTCTGGGGATGATAGCTCGTTGTGAAGCAATGTTTAATCTTGCACGTTTTCATCACCTCTTTCATTAAATTACTGGTAAATTGAGAGCCTCTGTCACTAATAAGATATTGTGGGGCTCCGTGCCGAAGAAAAATATCCTCTACTAGAAATTTAGAAACTTCTTTCACTGTTGCTTCCGAGACTGCTCTTGTTTCTGGAAAAGACCAGGGGCTAGAAGATGGCCTAATTATGCCTTCTGTAAGCATCTCGTCAATTTGCTCTTTTATAATATCTCGTTCTTTAGCACTTACCCGGTAAGGCTTGTGTTTAATTGGCTTCGCGTCTTCTGTGTCTATCCGATGTTTTGCCAAATTGGTTCTCCCTAATCTCGATGAAAAAAGATCTCCATACCTTTCTAAAACTTGTTTCAACTCCTTCTGTTCCTTTGGTGAAAGATTTTCGTTTATTTGGAATCTAGGTTCTTCGTTCTTTTCTACCTCTCTTTCTCGACTCACATTTATTTTCGCTGGACTACTTCCAAAAGCCAATGTTTGGTTTTTCATTATTTTTAACGGTCGAGGATACGGATTAGTTATCCAGATGTGTGTTTCCCTATTTATAACATTGATCAAGCTTCTTGCTAGACGAAGTCCATTTGTTTGAAACATTTTGCTGCTCTCCTCGATAATATATTCTCCATCCTCTGTTTCTACCAATGCCTTGATCAATTTCATGGAACATTCCGGTACAATGGAATCCTTGGCACTCTTTATTTTCAACATTTCAAAATTGATTTCGTCATGATTATTCGTCAAATCATATTTTATAGTTTCTTGCTTACAATCTATTTTTGCGTTCATTTTCTTAAGGAAATCTCTCCCAAGAATTAATGTCCGTAAATGCGTTTTCAATATCACAAAGTTGTGTGATAATGTTTCGTCATCAATTTTTATATTTAAAAATATACTTCCTACCATGTCCAATTTTTTTCCATCGGGTCCTGCACAAATTTTTGCGAGTTTACTTATACCATGGCCTGTATCGAGGGCCGTTCTGAGGTCGACCACTGAGAGGTCAGCACCTGTATCAACCAAAGCTTCAAAAGTCCCTATCTTGTCCACATTAATTTTTAATTTGTATTTAGGGTCCTACTTCTTGATTCCGTTTATGGTCGACTTGCTTTGATTGACAGATTCAGGCGCGACGCTTAGTTTAAATCTTCCAACACGGAATATCTATTCCGGGTAGGAATATTTGTCTGTGTGCTATGACATACATCAGCATAAAGCCGAGGTCCTGATTTCTCTGATATTTCATTCATTTGGCATTTTTCTTCGACCTTCTCTTGGGTATCTGCTGGATCCTCTTCTAGGATTCTTATAAACTTGACCCTACAATAACGGGCCACGTGCCCTGGCTTGTTACATTTAAAGCAGATTGGTCTTCCATCTTCCGTCCTATTTTTGCTCACTTCTTGGCTTTTATTGTAAGTGTTTCTCTGAAGGTTTGGTTTCGGCACAAAGTTAGGATTATAAGGACGTCTAGGGGTAGAGGGCTGGGGAAAGTTGTTTCGATACTGTCTGGGGGTAGGAGGGGAGTCGTTCTTGTAATTATTGGAAACAGGGGCTTGGGGCCTGGAAGTGGTCTGGTAGTTTCGTGCGGCAGTCGGCGGCACGTACCTCGATTGTTGTTGGGGTCTAGAATAGCGTGGACCGTTATATAGGTTTCTGGATTTCTCCACACGTTCCCGATACTTCTTTTCAAAAGAATCCATTTTCTTGCACACGGCAAGAAGGTCATCGGTCGTTTTATGAGGGTTCAGGTAGAGCGCGAATGAGTACTCTTTTTTCAGTCCTCCAATAACATGTTCAA